ATTTTGATCACAGCTTTGAAGAAATTTATATCGTTGGATATCCTTCCACGAGAATCAAGCTCACCATGTCAAGTGGGTCATAGCCCTTGACTCAAGTTATCATGCTTTGGTCTTTAACGACATTTAGTTAGAGGAAAATAAATCCTCTTGCACCTTGATAGACGTCTGGTTCAACATGTCCCTGCATCACAAGCACTTGAGATCCTTGAAATGGTTATTAAAAATGCTATGGTATGATGTCATGATGTTATGTACAAGCAAATAAGTCTTTATGTACAAATAATCATATACAAACAAACAAATCCTTAGGTTTAGGCTTGCATGGAGTTTATAGGTAAGTACTCTCTTGAAGTTTAGTTGGCTCAACCTGTCCTAGAAAGTAACCGGGTTCTAGGGAATCTCAATATCACTGATCTTTCTTTATTGGGCATTGTTTTAGCACAATCAATCTTTTCTTGTGGCCAAAATATCCCAAAATTACGATCTCAATGAGCGTAGTATTGAGTATCAACCAGTCTTGAGCTCTACACCAAAGCCGGCTATCTCACTACTTCCTAATGGCCAAGAAGTTGGGACAAAAATCTGCATAAACTAGGTCAAAATTTCACTAAGTGTTTAAGAAAAAGTTCATGACTTCATGGACCTATAACTCAAAACCTAAGCATTTTTTGGATATGAGCCCTCTAATATAAAGTTGTAGATATCATCAAGATCTATAACTCTCACGTTGAAAGTTTCCTTTGAATCATCTTGGATCTTAGTGAAAAGATGGCATAAGTAGTGAACTTATCCTGTACAAAAACACTTAGAAAAATTTCTAAGTCTTGAAAAGTTTGACTTTTCAAATTGACTTTTGAATTTCTTGATTTCTTGATGATCAAGCTTCATATTTTTGAATATCTTGATGAATCTTGACTTTTGAAACTCAATTTTGATCAAAAAGTCAATGTTTGACTTTTGGTGTATCATGTTACTTTTCAGTTGACCAAATTTCATCTATCAATTGTTTGATCTTGAGAGGTGAATTGAGTTATGCAATTAGGTCAAAATGATGTAATTTAATCCTTGAGATCATGTTTCAAACCAATAAGTCATGTAATATCTCAAAAGTCAAAAATCAGTCATTTTAATCAAAAACCCTAATTTTGACTATTTTACCCTTTTGATGATTTGCACACTTTTCTTGAGGAATTATAATCCAAATTTGATCAATTGATGAATATGAATTCAAATTATTGATATTAGTCAAAAATCTTGAAGTTTGACTGTAAGTTGACCTCAGTTGACTTTTTAACCAATGTAGTTGATTTTTCAATCATCTGATCAATTGACTGAGCAAAATTTTGATTCAAGGCTTGAAACTTGACATGGGTATTCTTAGAGGTCTATAATGATCCATGAAAGTCACTTGAGGCATTAGAAGTCCATTTGTCCTTGTGAAAATCAAAACCCTAATTTGGGGCATCAATGTTTAGGAGGTGGTTTGACCTAGTTAATACTTGTACAAACTTGAGCTATTTGAAGATCTTGTGAGAAATGTCTTGAGAAAAGAGAAGGGAAATTTTGGGGTAAAACACCGTCCATCTCTGCAACCACTCAAATCCAAACACTTAGCAAGCTAAAAAGGATAAACATCAATAAAGATTTGTAAAGAAAGTTTCATACAACACTATGAGCAATAAATGTACATATAATAAAGGTAAAGTTACATATAAAATCCAATAAATAATGGTTACAAAGAGAGGAAGAGGAGAAGAAACCAAATTTCCTGCAGTGTCAAACACGATCCATCAAGCTCACGACCCCGGATCATCCATTTTCAAGCCATAAATGTTGTTGTCTAAGCTCTAAATATCAAAAATGAAGGAGATGGAATTTGGGAACAAATACCCCAAAAACCATCCACCCAAAATGAAACAAAAAAGTATAAAGAAAATGTTTTCCGCGAGAATCTCCTGGCGGTATAAAAGTGTCCCGATGACGACTCTTATACACTTGGCCCGGGTTTTGCCACGTCCTCAGCAGGTCAAAAATATCCTTCATCGCCCAACGATAAAAAGCTTTTCCCGGTGACACCTTTATTCCTCGCCTGGTGATGCAGCAACGAAGTAAGGCAGAGGCAACATCAAAAATGGCTCTTCTCTCCCACTGCCGCCCGGCAATAGAAAATTTTCCCGATGACGCAAGACAGTTCAGTAACTTTTTTTACTTTTACTGCATAACTTGGAATATCTTCATCTTTCGCCTTATTCTTCATTGATCAAAAATGCATCTTGGAGCTTTATTCCTCTTGCTCCAACAATGCTCAAATACCTACAAAATGAATACAAAACTATCAAACGATACACTTTATACACGAAAGTGCATTATACACAAACTAAACGTATTTATACACAAAGTTAGGTTATTCAACTGATATTAACAACCAAGAGTCGATAAGTGCAACAAAAAGTATATACAAAAATAACTATAATTTGCACTTATCATAGTCCTACAAGGAATGCATTTAAGGCGTATTAGATTCGCAGAAATTAGTATGTATCGGATATGTAGTCATGAGACGAATGCATTTAATTCGTAAAAAATCCGCATAAATGCCTTTAGTCTGTATCAGATACGCAATTATGCATGTCATCTTTATTACCCATGTCTTGCACACTTTAAAATAAAGAGAGACAAAAAGCATACAACAGAGGAAGAAAGAGAAGATGCATGAATAATTATATTAATAATGAATTGAATTTGTTACAAAGAAACAATGAAATGACTAGATAGATAAAACTTCAATAGTAACCCTATTATGGACAGACAACATCCTGAGTCTTTGGTATCTCTCCTTTATCAGGGCTACTGGGTGCACCTCTCCACCTTAAGGTATCTCCTTTGGTTGGATGATATGGCAAAGCGCTTTGCCTTATATTTTCTCGTTGGTTTATTGTTGTGTGGTCAGCTTCATAGGGGATATAACTTGAGGATAACCATTGAAACCTTAAGGCCCTAGAGTTGCCTTTGTCAAATGCTTCAGTGAGGCATTTTCTGACTATTGGGACTAGGTTTGTATTTGACATGAAGACTCCTAGGAATCTTTATGACATGATCAATATTAGTGTAGCTTTTGTTCAATACTTGAAGTTCAGATACAAGAACTTGAAACCTTGAAAACATGGTTTCAATGTCTTCATCTTCCTTCATTTTGAACATCTCATATTATTGGACCAAAAGATTTGCTTTAGCCTCTTTAACTTGTTGATTCCCTTCATAAGAAGCACAAAGAGATTCAAAAATGGTTTTGGCAGTAGATTTGTTGAGAATCTTGAGGTACTCGGACTAAAGTAGATCATCTATCAAGATTCCTCTTACTCTATGATGTTTTCTGTATATCTTTTATGAGCATGTGTGAGGCTCTTTTTGTCAGCCACCATGCCTAATCCATCCACTTCAAGGTCAATTCCATCTTTAAGAATATTCTATAACCCATCATCAAGACCTATGTGAGTATACATTTTGCCTTTCCACCACTTAAACTTAGTATAATTTCCTCTGATTATTCGAGGTTTAGAAATATAAGTATTCCTTTCATAGGCATTATAATCAAAGGGCACACAACATGGTGATTAGTTCCAGAGGTTTTAGATTCAACTTTAGCCATGTAGTTTTTCTCTCAGGATCTTTTTTGTACCACTGGTAAGTGTTGATGCACAGACCATGCTCTGATGCCAACTGAAGGTAAAAAAATACAAGAAGAGGGATTGAATTGTGTTGACTTTTTCTCCATTTTCTATTATTTTGAAGAACTCTTATCAGACTCTAAATAAAGGATCGAAATCGGATTTAGAGTCTGATGAGTAGCTGCAGATAAAAACAATTAAGAGATAGAGAATAGGGAAAGAGAGACACAAGCAATTATCATGGTTCCTCCCGTTACTCAAGAGTAGTCCAGCCCCCTTGCACTTCTAAGGGATTTCCACTATAATCAAATTTGATTACAAATTGTTCAAGCACACAAGCAAAAAACTTCCAATGCTCAAACACACAAGTAAGAGACTTCAATGCTCACACGCACAAGCAAGAGACTTCTAAATGCTCAAGCACACATGAAAGAGACTGCAATTGCTCAACCACACAAGCAAGAGACTCCAGTTGTTCAAGCACACAAGCAAGAAACTTCTGACTCTATAACAAACTGTTAAGAGAATGTGATAAACTACACTTGATATACAATCAGAGGTGTAGATAGAATACAACACAAAAAGTCTCTAAGACTTAATAACTTATAAGAATATAAAATTGATAAGAAGTTCTAAGTTAAACTTGTGTTATAGATTTGACAGAGTAACAACTCTTTGTTTGTCAAGGCGCAGTGTTGTATATTTTCTCCAAGTCTTCACTCCATTTATAGAGAACCAACAAAGAGATGTTGGAGAAGACTTCTTGCACGAGTCTTGGAGAGAAGCATCAATAGATCCGTTGGAAAGCTTGCTGATATGGTTAATGCCGTTGCAATGTCATTTGAAGCTCCTTTACTACAAAAGAAATTATGAATTCAACAATTGACAGAAAATTTAATTTATTTCATTAATGTTATTCAATTTACTACAAATTTAATTTAATTTATTCCATTAACTCCTCTAATTCTATTAGTTCAACAAGCATCAAATGATTAGCCTCATGATTACATTATCTTTCTCATCTCTAATACTAGTACTCCACAAAACAACTGTTATTATGTTCCAGCAATTTAACAAGGAATCATTACTAAGATGAGATCACTAACAATTGATTAGCACGATCCTAATTGATTTTGTAATTTAAATATATACTTTCTTTACTATTTACATAGTTTTTAATTAGATTTTATTTAATGTGAGTGGGATAATTTAACTAGTAGTAGTAATCAATAGAATGAATAGAAAAACAATTATGTAATCTCATAAAAAATATTTGCTTAAGAAATTAAGCAAGCGTGAGCATTACTCTTAATAAATAGAATTTTAAAATCTCTAAAAACTAAGTCCATATTCAACCAATTCCTTTTCTATAATGATGTCTATTTGCTTAATCATTTCAGTTGTAAAAAGATTTTTCCAATCTCCGACTTGGCCACGTCTGAAAAAATATTTGTTTTCAACACCGGTTCCCACTTTTCCAATCTTATTGACTTCCAATCCACTCAACTTCTCAAAACTGCACAAATTTAATATATCATCAATCACACCTTTAGATTCTTCTTCTTTAGAGAATGGACACTCCATAAACTCAGCAAGTTTTTTCAAATAAAAATCTGGCTTCTTTTTCATTTCTTCATATCTCAAAAACATAACCTTATTTGATCTTTCCATCAAACTTTCCTTCCAAAATGGTCCAAAAGGACTCACTCCTCTACAAAAACTCTCAAACAACTCATCTAATGCAAGTTTTTCCATACTTTGTGATCTTAGCTTGTTTATGAAATGCCAAAATGAAACTAAATTGTCTTTAGGGTCTCTACAAAGATACACAATCTTACATCTTGACTCTTTCACAGATTTTGGCAACAAATGATAAGGAAGATGTGTAGAGAAGAGTCTTGGATGAGATAATGAGTTGAGATTAGGAAGAATATCTTTATTAATGTAAAGATCATGCTCAAAAAATGGAACAAGATCATGAGGGTTGGAAATAAGCAATGGATGGTTAAGATGAACATTTGAATATTTCTTGCGGTTAAGCAAAGCAAAAGTCAAGGCTTTGAGCCAAGTAGTACCTGATTTGGGAGAGGTAACTAAGAGGATATCAGTATCAAGTGCTTGAAAGTGTTGTTGACAAGATAAAACATTTTGTAGAGTTGTTGTGCCAATCCAACATCCTTGATATTGATGAAAAGGCATTTTGATCCACCCTTTTTCTAATGGTAAGGTGGATATCAGTTCCTTGTATTCTCCAGTTAAATCAATTTCTTGCAAGTATATTGGCACTTCAGAGTTTTCATCACTTGATTTTGCCATTGTTGATGTAGTAGTGTAGGAAGTATAAAAGCTTAATATAGAATGGTTTGGTCTTAGATGTCAAACTACACATCCGGCTTCAAGTTGATTCAATATAAAATAACATTGGGCGGCTGGACTTATAATACTACAACTAATACTACAATTAATGGGATATCTATTCTTACACAGATACGGATACGATACGCGTATTTATTTTTAAAATATAATAAAAATGAAATAAAAGAAATATAAAATTATTTTTGTTTTTAAAAAAAATAATAAATTTGTTTCTATAATTTTTTTATATATATAAAAATATTTAATTAATAATATATTTTTTCAAATATAAAATTTATTTATTTTTTGCCATTATTTTCAAAAATATTAAAATTAAGTAAATTTGTTTTTGTTATTATTTAATATTTTAATCAATAACTTCTGTTTTCATTATCATTTCATATTTTGATGTGTAATTTTTTATTCCAGTTATTGTTTCATAATTTTCTATTTTTATCAACTATCTCATCACATGAAATTCACATTATCATCATGAAATTTTCGTGGATTTTATCAAATATTTTTATCAAACACTTCATCACGCCTAAAGATATTAGATTTTAAGTTTCTATATATTAACATTGTGCGTTCGCGCGAATTTTAATATGATTATTTGTGCGTTCACACAGTACTAATGTGTTATCTCTACGCTTGCACGGGTACTGGTGTGATACACACACTTTTACTTTTAAAATGTAATAAAAATATAAATAAGAAAAACAAAATTATTTTATCAAAATAATTAATTATTTTTAAAAGAAAAATATTTTTTTAAATTAAAAACAAAATATTCTTGTGCATATGCACGAGATACATTTTTGGACGAAATATGATTCTGACCGTACATTGTTTACTGACTGTAATAAAAATCGGAAATTGAAAAAAAGAAAAAAAAACTTAAGACTAATAGTTAAAAAACTGTTGAAACTTATATTAGATAGATTAAGTCGTTATTTTTTTTTTCTATAAATAAGAAAATTATTTTATTAAAAACAAATAAAAATAAAATAAAATTGTTTAATCAAAATAATTTATTATTTAAAAAATATATATTTTTATTTATATTTTTTCAATATATAAAAATATTTAAATAAATCATTTATTTTTTATATATAAATATTATGTATGTTTTGATATTATTTATAAAAACATTTGGATGAATAAAAAACTTATCCTCATTTAAAAAATATATATATATATTTTAAGAAAAAAATTAAATTAACTTATAAAAAACCTATATTTATCTTATTTACACTAATAACATATATTAGTGATATTATTACATCAATAACATAAATCAATGACACAAATATATTTATTAATTATTTTAATTGTATAAAATTTAGTAATTAATACATATTTTTCTTGTATTTGAGTCAAAAATGTTTTTTTACTCGTATTTAAATCACCTTGACATATTTGTTCAATCATTACTTTAATGGTATGAATTTTAATAAGCGATAAATATTTTTCTTATATTTGAATCACTAATATTTTCTCGTATTTACTTAATTATGTTGATTCTTTAAATAAATTTCAATAAGTAGATATACTTTTGTCATATTTGAATGGGTAATATATATTTATTTCCGTAATTATATTAATGAGATAGATTTATTCAATTATTATATTAATTGAATAAAATTCAATAAATAAGAAGAATTTTAATTGTATTAATTTTAATAAATGCTACATATAAATAACTTTAATAATATTTGCATATTTAAGCATTTCTATTATCATATTTTATCATTAAAAATATTTGTTTAGTGATGTTTTACTTTTTTTTTTTTTTACAAAATATTTTACTTATTTATTAGTGACATACAAAAATAATTGTTTCATTCTACGTGAATGGATAGATTTAAACACTTGGAAAAAAAATGAAAAAGTAATAGAAGTGAGAGAGAGAAGTTTTAGAAGATGTGAAAAGTGCGAAAAAATAGAAAAGAGAAAAGTGAAAAGTGAGATATTTACCGATTGCTTTAAAATCAAAAGAATAAAGTGACATCATCATTTGATCTAAATTTAGCCAACAAAAGTATAATATAATAATTTTATAATTGAAATTCAACTATGTGACATCAATATTTACAACAAAAAAAATAAATTTTAAACATTAAATACTCTTATTTTGGACACATGACGGTAAGGGTGTTCAAAATCAAACTGACCCAATAGAAAATCGCAAAACTGAACCGAACTAAACCAAAACCACAAAAAACTATATTTGGTTCAAATGTGTTTTGGTCATTTTCTAACGGAACCGTACAGTTCGGTTCGATTTGCGATTTATATTTTGCAAACTAAACCAAATCAAACCAAACCGTATTATGTTATAAAATTTTACTACCTAATATATATTTCTTTAATTCTTTAAAGAAATCAACATGTATTATGTATATATTTTATCATACTTTGTATGATATTTATTTTAATTTATAAATCATAAAAAATAAAATAGTATTCATTTATAAATATTATTTTTATAAAATATATTTTATCGTACTCCTTGTATAATATTTATTTAAGATACAATCTTGTCTATATCATTATTTAGATTTAGATAAAATTATAATACACATTTTTATGTATTAAACTATAAACTTATTTTGATAATTATAAAAAAATTTATAGTAATGTATGAATAATTAAATACAAAATTATATTTTCATATATATGTGTATATATAGCTTAATAATTTTTTTGTAAAAAACCGAACCAACCGAACCAATTCAAACCATATTAATTTGATTTGGTTTAGTTCAAATTTATTTTTAAAAGTCAATTAAATCAAACCTAATCTTTTTTTTTTCTTGCAATTTGAATGATTTTTTTACTTTAAAACTGTCTAAATCACATCACAAACATTCCTAAACAGATAACAAAATAGGGATAAATTTAATCTTTCTAGATACATTTATTTTCTTATATTATAGATATAAGAATCAAATCTTACTTTATTATTAAATAATTCTTACAATAAAAAATCATATTATAATCCCAGTGAAACACAGAGCCATTAGTTTTGCATGCATGAGTAGAGATAGAACCGACAAATTTTTTATATTAATTTCTTTGTTAGCAAATAAATGTCATGATCAAGTTGGTCTATAATAATGAATAAAAAATGATTATGTAACTTTTAGGTAATATTAGGGGTGTAATTTTGGACTGATTTTTGATTTAAAAAAGGTTTGAATCGATGATATATCTACATTGATTTGATTTAGTTCGGTTTTTTATATTTTTTAAAAATGAAATTGAATCAAACTAATCGATTTAGTTTGGTTTAATTTAGTTTGGTTCGGTTGATCGATTTACAAAGTTTTTTTTCAAATATTATATTTATCAGTGAATTCTTTATTATCGTGTTTTTTGATGTATTTTATACTATTAATTTTTAAAATAATACATTTCATATAATTTATTTCATGCTCTATTTTTTCAAACAAATTACAAGCTACTCTTAATCCATGCAAAAACAAGTACACGATATCCATTACATCATGAAATAAGTTCACAATCAAATATAAAAGTTGACATTTGACATTAGAAGGTTGGAAAAGGATTTGAAAGCTTAACAAATAGAACACAACAAACACATATCAATTAATATGTTACACTCTTGAAACACACATTAAAACTATTTTGTAACATGACTAGAAGAAATTTTGTTGAAGAAGAAACAAAAAAGATTTTAAAAAAATAAAAATTAACGAAGAGAACTTGAATACAAGAAGACGGCCAGGGCAACATTTGTGGCAGGCAGCGAGAGCAACAGTTCAGTAAAAACAAGTTTTTGTGACTTATGATTTTTATTTTCTAAGTTTTTGAGGAATGCATGTTTTGCTGATAGGAAGGAAGTGTAAATAAAGATGGAGAATGTTTGGACCGATAAAAAATTTGGGCTTAATGATAGGTTGAATACAAAATTTAGAGTGTAATTATTTCCATTGATTTGATTCATTGGTTTGACGGTTCCTAAGAACAAAAACCGAGAACTGAACTAAACCATATCAATTTTTATTAGTTCAGTTCAGTTTTATAACCGAACCAAAAATAATCGATTTTATTTTAGTTTAATTTGATTTAGATTGTCGGTTTAATTGATTTTTTCTGATCCACTTACACTCCTAGATAATATATATATATATATAACATACCATTTTTAGCACTTTTTAAGATTTTTAAAATTTATGTTGTTTTTTTCTTTTTTTGAACAATTTAAATTTATGTTGTTGATTGCTTAAAATTTATTATTATCTATTACTTATAAAAAATCAAAATTATTTAGCATTTCAATGATAATCATTTATATGTTCATGGAGACAATGTATTCGTGAGGGTGACTCTGTCTATCGAACTAGGCCAAAGAGGAAGGCTTGAATCTTTCAGGGATAGACGCTTCCCATATTTCGTCTGGGACTGGATGGAGATCAAGCACTTTTATCTCTTCTAGGAAATTGATCTCCTGTTAGCGTTGTCGCATATTGAGGACATTGTCGTCTAGACTTTTATTCTAACAACACGGTTCATCCATGGTGGCACGCATCTACGTCATAACGTTAGCCTCACTGCTTCCCTTTGTGTCCTCCAACATGGAAGAATGTTTTATCTTGTTAACCATGACTGAGAATGTCTAGATACATGAGCGGGGGGTGACAATGATTATGGTTATTGTAACAGAAGATGTGAGTCAAGTTAGTTTTACTGGGGGCCCACGGTGGGCGTCATTGTACTTGTCAAAAAATACAGGTGTGTGTGGTATCCCACATTGATAGAGATTACTCAGAGGTCTTAGTCGTTTTATAAGAATTAGGGCTTGCCCACGGTGGCGAGAGGTCTTGTATGGTGGTGTTTACTGTCGTAAAAGAAGTCATCTCACGTGAGGTGAGAGACTCTTTAGGTAAGGGTTATGCTTAGGGTGTAACAATATGTTTATCTCCTGTTAGGGAGAA